CTCTCTCTCTCTCTCGCTCTCTCTCTCTCTCCTCTCTCTCTCTCTCTCTCTCTCTCTCTCTCTCTCTCTCTCTCTCTCTCTATATATATATATATATATATATATATATATATATATATATATATATATACATATATATATATATATATATATATATATATATATATATATATATATATATATATATATATATATATATATATATACATATATATATATATATATATATATATATATATATATATATATATATATATATATGTATATATATATATATATATATATATATATATATATATATATATATATATATATATATATATATATATATATATATATATCCCTCTCTCTCTCTCTCTCTCTCTCTCTCTCTCTCTCTCTCTCTCTCTCTCTCTCTCTCTCTCTCTCTCTCTCTCTCTCTCTCTCTCTTCCTCTCTCTCTCTCTCTCTTCCTCTCTCTCCATACGTCCATCCATCTATTTAGCTATCTATCTATCAGTCCATCTCTCTCTATCTCTAATCCATCTCCCTCTCCCCCAACCCCCTCTCTACTTCCCTTCCCTTCTCCCTCTCCCCCAACCCCCTCTCTACTTCCCTTCCCTTCTCCCTCCCACCCTCCACTCCCTCCTTCCTTCCCCCGCTCCCTCCTTCCCTCCTCCCTCTCCCTCAACCCCCTCTTTACTTCCCTTCCCTTCTCCCTCCCACCTTTCACACCATCCTTCCTTCCCTCACTCCCTCCTACCCCCCTCCCTCTCCCCCAACCCTCTTCCCATTTGCCGCACGTGCCTCAGAATCGCTCCTTCTCCCAGTCGCCGACCGCGCTTTAGAACCCAATCTACATGGAATTCCCTCTTTCGCTTATTCCTGCCTATCTTCCCTTCCCTCCTCGTCCTTCCTTCCTCACCCTCCCTTTCTCTCTGCTCACGTTCCTTTCTCTGTTACTCCTTCCCTGCCTTCTCTATATCATTTCTCTTCCTCCCCTCCCTTTTACTCACAGTCCCTTCCTTCCTTCCCTTCTTCCCATTCTCCTCTCCTCTCCCCCCCCCCCTCTCCATCCACTCCCTCACGCGTCTCAAAGACACTGTTGCTCCCTGTTGTCTTTCTATACAGAATTCCCTCCCTCTTTTCTTTTCGCCTATCTTCCCTCTCTCCCTTCTTCCTTCCTTCTTCTCCCTCCCTCCGTTCCCCCTTCCCGATCCCGTCTCCCTCCCTCCCTCCTCCCCATCCTCACCCTCCCTCTCCCCCAACTCTCTCCATATTTGCCACACGCTCCCCATCGTCTATCTATACGGACTTCCCTCCTCCCCTTCTTCTTTCCTTCTTCTCCCTCCCTCCGTTCCTCCTTCCTACCCACCTCCTCTCCCCATCCCCCTCCCCTCTTCCTCCTCCTCTCCACCCTCCCCCCCCCTCCCTCTCCCCTATGCCACACACGCCTCAAAGACACTGTTCCTCCCAATCTACGCGGAAGACTTCGGCGGCGCATAAGACTTCGCTCTAGACAGCCTCGCGTGTCCGTTGGCTCAAGACCCTTCACTGTGTCAAGTCCCTTACTTAGCTGAGGTTCTGCTCGTCTTCGGGGCCGCCTGCGTTCGACGTGGAGGCTCTCCGGCAGGTTATGGAACCCCTTGGGAGTGTCAGGGAAAGAAGTGCGCTCTCGTTTGTGGATGCACCAGTGACAGGTGTCTTTATTGTGTGTGTGTGTGTGTGTGTGTGTGTGTGTGTGTGTGTGTGTGTGTGTGTGTGTGTGTGTGTGTGTGTGTGTGTGTGCGTTTGTGTGTGTGTGTGTTTATGAGAGAGAGAGAGAGAGAAAGAGAGAGTGAGTGAGAGAGTGAGAGAGAGAGAGAGAGAGAGAGAGAGAGAGAGAGAGAGAGAGAGAGAGAGAGAGAGAGAGAGAGAGAGAGAGAGAGAGAGAGAGAGAGAGAGAAAGAGTTGAGTAGACAGAAGGAATGGGCGGGGAGTAGAAAATTCTATTATCGCAACATTCTTACATTCAAGGAACAACGATAACGATAACTAGAAAGGCACTCAAAGAGCACAGACCTCTGCAGTTAGCATTAATCCACCCACATCTCTCTACTTAAGAAAGTTATTTAATCCACCTCGAGAATCCACGAAAATCTTGGAGCGAATTTACTCAAAATCTGTCTGATCTACCACAGATAATTTATTTTATTACTACAATCTATTTACCTGTAATTAAATAGAAAAGTACTGACTGACTGATTACTATACCATCTTCGGCTGGCGGAGATAATGGTATCCTGCTTTTTATCCCTGTCCATTTACTCTCTCTCTTTCGCCTAAAAAGGTTTAGGTGAAAATATGAATATCAAGCTTTTGACCTGATCACTGCACACAAAACATTATGACGTTGATTGAAATAACCTCCTTTTTTTCTCTCCCCCCCCCCCTCCAAGGTCAGCCACGTGCAGGTCCACTTCGGAGCCGGAGATCACATCGGATCCGAACACACCGTCAACGGCACCGCTTTCCCCGCAGAGGTAAGGACGTCCAAGGGTTGAGACAAGTTGGACGAGTGAAGTTGCACGCTGATAGTCCTCATCTTGCTCGACATAAAGAAATGCAACAAGGGCGGCTGAAATCACTGGAAATCAACAACGCTGTTTACAAAACCTGTGAAAGGCCATCTGTCCCCGAGAGCCAAAACAGTGGCTAATTGGATATTGCAGAGAAACAATGATTCAAAGCTGATTCCAGAACGCACGTCAAACACTAAAACGCGGCGTGTGTTGCAATGCAAGAAAACACAATAGTCAGCCAATTCCCGGCTTATGCAGACCATGAAAACAGGTACATCAGCGTAGAACAAAGGGGATGGTGAATAGGCTTATGAAGAATGAATGAGTCGAATGAATGCGAGTGCGGGGAGACCTTCCGTCGGGGTAGCATGGTGGTGGAGTATCTCCCTTATCAGCTGGCGAAGTCTAACACAACGCGCCTGAGATTCAAGATTCCTGCAGATTGAACAATGGCGGCGCAAGGAAACTTTCTCCCCGCGCCCGACCCCTTCCTCCGGGTCTCTATTGCGCTTTGTTCCGAGTTCTTCGTCTCTGTCTCCTCCCCTTTCTGCGTCAGTCCGTTTTTTTGCATTTCCCTCTCGCTTTCTGTTTTTTCGTTCTGTTCTCTCTATCGCTTCTTTCTTCTGCCTGTCTGTCTGTCTCTCTCTCTCTCTCTCTCTTTGTCTATCTATACGGAATTCCTTCCTTCTTTTCTTTTCGCCTATCTTCCCTCTCTCCCTCCTTCCTTCCTTCTTAACCCTCCCTCCGTTCCCCCTTCCCATCCCGTCTCCCTCCCTCCCTCCCTCTCCATCTTCACCCTCCATCTCCCCCAATCCTATCCACATTTGCCACACGCTCCCCACATATATATATATATGTGTGTGTGTGTGTGTGTGTGTGTGTGTGTGTGTGTGTGTGTGTGTGAACTGCTTTGTAGATAGAGAGTGAACCATCAACCTCTTCATGTACACATCTATTTCAATACCCAGCGTGTTCTTTCGCCCCATGCTTTCCCCTTTTCCCTTTCGCCCGCCCCCTTGCGCACTAACATAATAGTCACATCGTTTCAGCACGAAACAACAAGGGCCACCAAGGCCAGGTGTTGGCGCCTCCACACTCACGCACGTGCAACTGATAGTCATTGTTCCTCTAAGATTACACAAAAGCACCAACCGGCCTCTCATTGTTGGTAATGTGGCCTTACTCGAGCAGCTGCGTGTCTGGAAGAGATTCGGAGTTGTGTCTTCGATGCTTGTGATTAGTGAACATTATTGGCCTTTTTTTGAAGCTGTTGGCAGTAAATTGTCCATTTGTATCTTTCACTCACTCTCTCTCTCTGTCTCTCTCTGTCTCTCTCTCTGTCTCTCTCTCTGTCTCTCTCTCTCTCTCTCTCTCTCTCTCTCTCTCTCTCTCTCTCTCTCTCTCTCTCTCTCTCTCTCTCTCTCTCTCTCTCTCTCTCTCTCTCTCTCTCTCTCTTTCTCTCTCTCTCCCCTTGCCTTTGTATGTCTGCTGTCCGTCCGCTTGTTTGTCTGTCTGCCCCCCCCCCCTCTCTCTCTCTCTTTCTCTGTCTGTTTGTCTGTGTGGGAAAGTAACAATAGCTGTAACGACAAGACTTTTATTACACAGGACAGAATAAAATCATGGGTTACACTACCCTTATGTTCCACTGTAGCTTATTTTGTCGCACTTGCCCATTACACCTTTCATGCTTGTATTTGTGTATTCTCCGACCCTGTCTATTCCTGACGAGGTTGCAATATTGCCGTGGCTTGATTCGAAGGAAAAAAAACACAAGGGTGAAAGTTGTGCTTTGTATTCCACTGGGATTTATCCATTTATTTTGATACTACCATCATTATTTTATAACTACTTGCAGCTGGAGTAACATATAAGAGAGAGAGAGAGAGAGAGAGAGAGAGAGAGAGAGAGAGAGAGAGAGAGAGAGAGAGAGAGAGAGAGAGAGAGAGAGAGAGAGAGAGAGAGACGAGGGGAAAGGCTACCTAATTATGTAACAGGAATGGACAAAGTTTATATACACGGGAAGAAGCTGCAGTGAAAAAATACAAATCCTATTTGTGTAAGAATATCTTCTTCAACAAAAGAATAAAACAAAACAAAACAAAAATTAACGCAAATCATACATATATATACACCAACCACAAAAAAACGCACACGAAAAGTAAAACAGACACAAATACAGACATAAACACAGTTCCGCGAGTCTACAGAGTCTAAAGACACACAGATAACAGTTTACGCCTTAACAACCACGCACACGAACTCAGAAACTTACACAAACACACATCAAAGCGCCCAGGAGACATGTAAGGTTAAGCAGCATAAAGACGGAGACAGAAATTGTAGGAGAAGGGGAGTTGAGAGAGAGGGGGGGGAGGCGGTCAAAACCTGGGCAGGGAGGGGGGTCAAAGGGAGGAAGGGAGGCGGAAAGGGACATCGAATGGGCAGGGGTAAGGGGAGAGGG